TTATCCAAAACGATCTTAAATGGAATGCACACATAGAATCAGTTGTATCCAAGGCTTCTAAACGTTTATATATCATCCGCATATTACGACGAGGTGGTGTCCCCGCGGAAGACTTATTGAGTATATACTTTGCCTTAATACGATCGGTTCTGGAGTACTGTTGTGTGGTATGGCATCATGCCCTACCTTTGTACCTCGCCGATGATTTAGAGCGAGTGCAAAAACGAGCGCTGAGGATTATTTTACCGGGTTACTCTTATAGGGAAGCATTAGCACAACTTGGGTGTTCCAGATTGGATGAAAGGCGAGAACGACATTGCCTCAATACTATGAAACGCATAGAAATTGAAGGACCACTGTCAAAATATGTTCCATTGTCTAGGGCTAGTTCAAATGATTATGAACTTAGAAACTCTAACACATTAACAACAATAAAATGCCGAACAGAAAGATATCGCCGTAGCTTTTTCCCAGTACAGTAGCTCTATATAATAGTTATAGTAAAGAAACTTAAGCGTGATACTTAATTACGATGATTTTAATGCAATTCAATAAGATTTTTAGACTTGATGCATGCAACTAAATTTTTATATATGTAAATATATAGCGTACCAATTTTGTAAACGCACCATAATTCAATCTATTGCGAAGGTGTGTATCTTAAACCATTAATAATAATAATAATAATAAATCTTGTCTAGTTTGAAATAGTTCCTCATACTTTTCAAATGTTTTTTCAGGATGACAAGCCAAAAGTGGAGAAGGCGAAAGTTGAGAAACCAAAGTTGACTCCAGAAGAAATTGAAAGAATAAAGGAAGAATTCAGGTTGAAACGAGAAAAAGAAAAAGAATTAAGGAAACAAGAAAGAGATAAGGTGACATTTAGTTTCTGTTAATGCAATAATGGAGGTTTTGACAGTTGAAAAACAATTCCTAAATAGAATTGCTGTACTGTATATAAAAATGCTGCCATGGTTTGTGTCTGAACCACATGGAAAGGAACTAAACACTTAATTGTCCAATCAATCTTTGATTTTAAGTTAAGAAGAAAATATAGAATTGCTGTATTGGGTCGTTCCAGAAACGATCCACACTCTTCCCAAGGAGGAAAATTCTGCTGTCTGGAGGGGGAGGGGAGAAAAACGTGTTTCTGATAATAATAAGTGTGTTATGTAGGACATCTGAAGGAGGTAGGGGGTGTTCACCTTTTAATTTCCTCTCTGGGGAATGGTATGATGTTTTCTTGAATGACCCATTGAATAAAAACCTGCTATGATATGTGCATGTCAGGACTCCATGGCAATAGATCCATTGCACTGACGTCACAAATCCTTAGAGTGTCCTCCAGATGCTCCCTAACAATATCTTTTCGGATACAACAACCACATACAGCGCAAAAGTTAACCATTTTAATACAAAAGTATTATAAAGTTTTACAAAAGTTATATTATGTATAGATTGTTAATTTGTCCTCCAGATGCATCGTCACCGGCGCTGTGACGTCATGTGCAATAGGTCTATAGAATAGACCTTTCCCTTTTAAGTGAAATTTTGATCTAGACAAGTCTGGACAAAAATTTCATCACAGCTTGAAAGAGCATCACAAAATTAGTAATATTCGAAAGTTTCGTTGCGAAATGTTGTAAAATGCGGATAATATAGCCTTGCGAAGTTTGCCGTTTTTCAGTCATTTTATATTACAATCTAACATTTTGCATCAGATGATCAAACTGATGCAAAATGTTAGATTGTAATGCAAAATGACTGAAAAACGGCAAACTTCCCAAGGCTATATTATCCGCATTTTACAACATTTCGCAACGAAACTTTCGAATATTACTAATTTTGTGATGCTCTTTCAAGCTGTGATGAAATTTTTGTCCAGACTTGTCTAGATCAAAATTTCACTTAAAAGGGGAAAGGTCTATTGCAATGTTTGAAATGTTTGTATTGATGTTATTTAGGCCCGTCTGGAAAGATCTGAACTTTTGAAGGAACAGAAAATGTTTTTATTGCATTGGTGTGTTCCACAGGATGACTTAGATCTTGATGATAATAAGGTGATTATTGAAATATTCACCCAGTGTCTGTCACTGGTATACTGAAATATGGTTATGTTACTCAAACTACTGTTAAGGTAATTCCGCAGTAATTGTTCCCGAAATGAGAATGTGCTGAAACTGCATGGAGTTTATGACATATACTTAAAGTAAAATCACACAAAAAAGTCGGGGTCACCGAACTCGTTAAGAAGATATGACAATCACAATATACCACCTTTACCCCCAATATGGCGCCATCTTGACGCTCATTACGAGTAACAGCAAACTCACAACAGCCCGATATTTATTGACGTTTTTAGCGCGGATTTTGCTTTAGTAAACCTATCTTGTAATTATGTTTGAAAAAATATTGTGTTTTGAGCAAAATGAAACTACTAACGTGTACAATTCTGATCCACAAATGTCTTTTCCACATTTCTTTACATATCTTTCTTTGAGAACATGCATTGATAAAGCATTTTTTTCAAGATCCAGAAATGATTTTTCTTTTAATTTCGGATATGAAATGTAAAATGCATTAAAGAAATAAATTATCAGTTAAAAAACGGGGGTCACCGATCTTTTTAGGGAATTCTGGCATTAAAACGTGAAATACAAGTAAATAAATATACTACAGACACAGTGAACCCTAGTTACACTTTTGTATGCCTTTTTTGAAAACATTGATTTTAACGCAATTCTTTGCACGAATGTAACCAAAGATGTTTTGAAGTAACATAAAATTGTCATAAAATGATATTTTGTTTTAAACGGTACGTATAATGGATGAAATTATCAGTTATAAGATGTGCGCAGTAAAAGTGCGCAATTACCTTAACATATACCAAAAAAGGTCAACATTGCAACGGTATGCCAAACGGGATTTTTCATTACCTCCGAAGTTTTAGGTATAACCATTCAAATTTCATTTTAGGAGTTACCTAAGTCAGTTCCATTAGAAAGTAAGTTGCCTTCGGATTTGTTTGGTGATGTTGTCATGGTTCTGGAGTTTCTCTATGTCTTTGGAGAATTTTTTAGTATCAAGCAAGATTTTCCTGATGGGATTACATTGGGTAAATATTTTAACATGTGTATGAATTTACACCTAAACTCTGTTGTACCAATTGATGATTCCCCTTATTACGTATATATTCGTAGCGCTTTGCATTGTGGTTATAGTGATATCACTGATAAAGATAGCGGCCTCGAATAAAAATATTGAATGTTTTCGCGAATATTTTGCTGTTGGCTGTCGCGCACCTGACCCTAGCTTTTTTTAAAAGTTCTTGCACGGGTCAGGATAAATAAGCCATCTTGAATATCAGTGATACCACTATAACCACAATGCAAAGCACTACGAAAACGTAATAAGGGGAATCGTCAATTACCCTGGCTTATAGTAAGATGTTGTGGTTCTATATGTACAAATGAGGAGGATTATGTTGAAATCGCAACGTTGACAAAAAAATTTAAAAATATACCAATTAAGCTGATAAATCTGCTCAATTCTTCTAAGAATAAATTATTATTATTGCATACATTTTGAAACTTATATGTAATTTTTATATGTAATTTTGATTATTGTACAGATTTTGAAATTTAGATGTAACTCTAAATTGTAACTTGTATAGTCTTTCAGTTGTCTTCCTCCAATAGCTTTTGTTGTTACCTGCGAATAATTGTCAAATTTTTCATTTTTTATTAAAAAATTGTTGTTATTGTTGTTGTTTTCAGACATCCTAGAAGAAGCTCTAACAGAACACGATGCTGAAGGATCATTTTACGACATCATCAGATTTCTTCTTTCCTCCATTTTAACAACACATGCTGACGAAGAAGAAGGTGAGTGGGCAGGTTTTTGATTTTATCCTGCTTGCCATCCCAGTGCCTGAATATTGGTTAAAAATTCAACCCTGCCTGTATCTAGACTTGCTCCAAGTCTCTCTTTCATATAGTATCGATCCACTATAGTGTACATTACATGACGTAGTAAGGAGGGGCGGAGCGAGAAAGAGAGACTTGTCAACTTCGGAAAATCTCTGTTCAAAACTGAACCGAAAATGCAAGACTTGCTTTAATTGTTTTCTGTCAGTGTTTATATGTATTGATCTAGCACAGTGTAAATAACATGAGTTCCATTATAGTAAATAATACAGAAAGAAATTGAAGGAAAGAATTAAAGCAAGTCTTGCATTTTCGGTTCAGTTTTGAACCGATATTTTCCGAAGTTGACAAGTCTCTCTTTCTCGCTCCGCCTCTCCGTGCTACGTCACGTAATGTACACTATAGTGGATCGATATGACAATGAAAGAGACTCTGGAAAGAGAGACTTGGAGCAAGTCTAGCCTGTATCAGGCCTCGAATTTCCCTGAAATAAATCGACGGCAATGGCGTTAAAAAAATTTAAGGTTATTGTTACTTTGGATTGTTGACAAGCTAGAAACATTGTTTACATATTTCTTGAAGTGTTTTTTTTCCCGAAGAAAACCGAGACTAAATTAGTAATTTACGCATGATTTGATCAACATCTGAATTCAAGTACCAAAATAGTAATGCACAGTGAATAGTATAAAAATTACATATATATACGGCAAAAAATGGGTAGCCTCGCAGTAGCTCGGAAGAGTGATTTTCAGTGGCTCAATTTGACAATTGCTTTTGTGTTTACAACAATGAATTGCTTCGTTCTTTAGAAAACCCCCTTCCAATTGGAGACGACCTTACGAGGCTCTGCGAGGCTTCCCCCCAAAATTGCCGTCGTTGCCGCAATGTCCACGGCATTTTGTTCTCCCTCTACGGCAATTGCCGCGATAAAATTCAAGCCCTGGCCTGTATATATTTATTATTATTATTATTATTTTATCTTATTTACACACATATACAACGGTAGCCCTTCAGCAAGTTTATGTACAGTTCTTTGTAGCTGATTTCCAAGGGGCCGCCTGGTCAATATGCATGGTCAATATTCATTCAACAATTAAATGTTCATTCAACAATTATTTTTTTAAACAATGAAAGATGAAGGATTGGATGAGATTGATCACGAGGATAATGTGAAGAACTCCAAGCCTGAGGAGGATGAAGATAATGATATGTCACGTGTCAAGAAAGCGGTGTCTGCGTCAGCGGCAATGGCGGCTGCTTGGGCACAGGTACACCAAGGACAGAGCCTTCATGAGTTGGCTCTTGATCCATTCACGTGCTCTGAGATTTTAAGACTGCATTTTTTGTCATCTGGAGCAAGCCTCGGTAAGTATAAAATTCCAGCGTAGTTCTGAGCAAACTTTTATACTAGGTAGCTGTATCAGTTTTAAGATGTCCTCCCTAGAGGTCAAGTATAAAAGATCATCCCTTATTGAAACTTAAACTGAACTAACTTTATTTATTTACTGGATAGCTCTATCAGTTCTAAAATTCTCTTCCTATAGAGGTCAAGTAAGAATCATCCCTTATTGATCCGGTGTTACTACAGGAGGAAACCTAACTAAACTAACTTTATTTATACTGGATAGCTCTATCAGTTCTAAACTGTTCTTCCTAGAGGTCCAGTAAGGATCATCACTTATTGATCCAGTGTTACTACAGGAGGAAACGTAAACTAAAACTACAGTAACTTTATTTCGACTGGATAGCTTTATCGGTTCAAAACTGTTCTTCCTAGAGGTTATGTAAGACTCATCCCTTACTACAGGAGGAAACCTAAACTGAACTAACTTTATTTGCTCTTTTAATATTTTTATAATTGTTCAGTTTCAGGTACAGATGGTGACCCGTACCGCTGGCAAAGACGTGGTGGTTTCACCTTCTCTGACGATGCTGGTGTAGCATTCCGTCGTCATGAACACGCTATCATGAGAGCCTTGGTAACTGGTAACATCTACGATCTAAATGCAGTCGAGAAACTGAAGATATTAAAGACGCTGTGTGCACAATTGTTGACGTATGCTTCTACGAGAGATATTATTGATGACGGCTTTGACAGGTGACAATGATATTCTTTGTTTTATTTTACGTTTCTAATGAATAGCTCTTTCAGTCCCAAACTACTATCTCAAGTACGGGGCAATAATCATTGGAGAACACTGTACAGTACCCGGAATATATGCAAAAATAGGAAATACATTGCAAATTTCATTGACATGTAGGCTTTCTGATTGACTTAATATGAAACAATAACAAAGATAGGCATTAAGATGCAGCAATATCCAGCAGAAATAGCACACAAAAAAAACATTTAGGAGTGACCGCATAATTTTTTTATGTATATTGCTACTAAGTAAATAAGTAATAGTATGGTTTATCGTGCAATTTGGGAAAAATATGCACGAGTGAGTTTTTCAAAGACTATCAAAATTGGACGAGTGCAATTTGAAGTCTTTGAAAAACTCACGAGTGTACCATATACCAGGACGAGTCCGTCCGAAGGACGACTGCAATTTGAAGTCTTAAGTTTGAAAAACTCGCGAGTATACCATGTACCGAAGGATGACTGCAATTTGAAGTCTTAAAGGGAAATGGCAATATATTTTTTTATTTTCTCGTTTGAAAGAACATTAAAAAGCATATATAAAACTCTTTTACCGTTTTTTTCATATCTTGCTTTCTTCTACAAATATTTTAATCGAAAGAAATGAAATGTCCGCCATCTTGGATTTTTGTAGATATGCAAGTTACGTCACAACAGGCCGGGGTCATGCAATATTTTTATCTAGACAACCACTAATCATTTTGCACTCAAAATTATACTCTGTATGCCCTTCGAAATATCAAGATCACTCAAAACCTTTAAAACATCTACCAATATTTCAATATTTGGTCAGCAACGAATACTTTTATATGGTTAATCCCTGTTGTGACGTCACCAAAACTACCGTTAATGAGATCATAAATTTATCCAAGATGGCTGACATCTCATTACTTCAAGTGAAAATATTTCAAGAACTAAGCAAGATATGAAGAATCGGTAAAAGAAGTTATTAAATAGTTTCAAAAGTTCTTTCAAATGAGAAAATAAAAAAATATATTGCCATTTCCCTTTAAGTTTGAAAAACTCACGAGTATACCATACCATATATCGAAACTTCACTATTATCTATACTAATAGTGAGAATAGAGATTGTGTTTGTACGACGAGTTAGATTACAGCCTAATCCTTGTGTTGTTCAGGCTTCGTAAGGCAAAGCGTGAGTTGCAAGAGGAACAATGGGCGGACCAGAGGAAAGACAAGGAAGAAGCCGCTGCGAAATACAGAAAACGTAAGGAGGAGAAAGCTAAGGAAAAAGAGGAGAAAAATAAACTTACCGAACAAGGCAAGACTGATGAAACTAAAGTAGAGGACAGGTATGGTGTGGTCACGAACTAAACTAAGTAGTGACGTTCATGCTTCTGGGTCCGCATCACTGCAGAAGAAACCTAAACTAAACTAACTTTATTTATACTGGATAGCTCTATCAGTTCTAAACTGTTCTTCGCGAGGTCCAGTAAGGATCATCTCTCATTGATCCAGTGTTACTACAGAAGGAAACCTAACCTAAACTAACTTTATTTATACTGGAATCCCTTATTGATCCAGTGTTACTACAGGAGGAAACCTAAACTAAACTAACTTTATTTATACTGGATAGCTCTATCAGTTTTAAACTGTTCTTCCTAGAGGTCCAGTAAGGATCATCTCTTATTGATCCAGTGTTACTACAGGAGGAAACATAAACTAAACTAACTTTATTTATACTGGATAGCTCTATCAGTTCTAAACTGTTCTTCCTAGAGGTCCAGTAAGGATCATCTCTTATTGATCCAGTGTTACTACAGGAGGAAACCTAAACTAAACTAACTTTATTTATACTGGAAATGTGTATCAGTTTTAAACTGTTCTTCCTAGAGATCCAGTAAGAATCATCTCTTATTGATCCAGTGTTACTACAGGAGGAAACCTAAACTAAACTAACTTTACTTATACTGGAAATGTGTATCAGTTCTAAACTGTTCTTCCTAGAGATCCAGTAAGGATCTAGGCTAGTAAGGATCATCTCTTATTGATCCAGTGTTACTACAGGAGGAAACCTAAACTAAATTAGCTTTATTTATACTGGATAACTCTATCCGTTCTAAACTGTTCTCCTTTCAAGATATTAGCGAAGCTAACATGTAGTAAAAACTTGTTCTACTTCAGTACAAAACAAGTGGCGATGCCAACGTTGAATGGAAACGACAGTGAAGAAGCGAAAGCCCACACCAGATCACAAGGTCCTGTCATTGAAGACCAAACACCTGACGGCGAAGATAACGCGGAAGCAGGACGATTAGAGAGGAAGGAAAATTTAAAAAAGAAAGAAAAAGCATTTTTGAAAGAGATGAAGAAAAGTCAGTCAATGTCTGGTGTACAACCGATTGGTACAGATAGACTGTTTCGTCGTTATTGGATATTTAATTCTCTGAATGGTCTCTTTATTGAAGACAATGATCCGTATTTGCCGAAGCTTTTACAGCCTGAGGAGAATGCTGTGGAGGTTTGTTCTTTATATAAATGTAGTAGTAAACTGTCGTGGTTTATGCCATTTCCCATTACGTCATTTCTAATAAATGTCAATCTCACGTCATTTCTGATGTTCATGTTTAATATCATTATATGTTGAAGCATTACATCTGTCCTAATGACATATCTTAAATCATTACGTCATTCCTAATTTTGATGTATTACATCTTTCTAATGTTAATTTATTATTTCATTCCTAATGTTGGTATATTACGTCATTTCTGATGTTCATGTATTACGTCATTATATGTTGAAACATTGCGTCATTCGTAGTTTTGATGTATTACGTCATTCCTGATGTAGACATATTACGTTATTCCTGATGTAGACATATTACGTTATTTTAGATAAGCTATGACGACAGCAACAGTGACACGACATCAGTAAGTACTGAAGAGGACCTACCTGGTCCCTCAACAACCTCCGTAATCCCTCAACATACATCAAGTATCACTTCGTTGTCCAAGGAACAAATTGAGCGACAAAAAGATCTATGTCGTATACTCAAACTATACAACATACCAGAAGAAAGTCTACCTGAGAATTGCATCTTAAACACGGGAGGAACAAGTTTGAAACGAGAACAGATTTGTGCTCAATTGAACAGCCGTGATATCACACAGTGGTCTTACTTGGATACGAAAGATGACCTAGAACTGCTTTTGAAGTCTTTGAACCCACGTGGCTATCGCGAGAAATATTTACGGGAGTCGTTAGTAGAATCTTATGATATGATCGTGAAAGGATTAGAGAATAACCCGTTCAAGTTGGAGAACAAATTGCTCAGAGAAGAGGCGAAGCAACAGCCCAAAGTATCGCGAAACCGAACTGTGGATAAAGCATTGTACAAGACGATGGAAGAATTTATTGAAGCGAGTGTAAGAGATCAAATACTGGATTTGGAAGATAGAGTATGGCAAGCTGGACTGGGTATTGTGAAAGTTGAAGATATTACTGCGTGGAGAAAACAAATTGAGAACGGGATCTACGATTTCTTACCTGGAGATAAAAATGTAAGTGAATGTCAATGTCAATGGGTAACTAAGACTTAGCATGCTCAGACCTTAAAATATCGATTGGTCACGTACATCATTGTTCGACGTAGAGAGGAAACCACCAGACATTCTGTCCGACCTTTGTGAAACTGAGGTTTACTGTTTGTCCGACACGAGTGTATTGGTGTCCGACCGAACTGTAGCTTTGTCGGATGTAAATAAAAATGTACCCTAGTCCAGAGACTCGTATGTTAAATGGAGAATCTGAGGAATATGTATAGAAAGTGAACCAGAAATTATGTTTTAATTTAATCGAGCGAAATGGTGAAGTGGAAAACGGTCTTACTGCTGTTGTCGGCAAGCAAGTTAATTTTGACTTAGAAATGAGTATGAATGACACAAATTATTCAATATCTTCACATTTACCGTTTAGAATTAATACATTGTGCTGAAGGATATTAACTTGTGTCATTCAGACTTATTTCCGAGCCAAACTGAACTGGAGGTCATCAGACATCTTCGTACATATGTCCGACTTACATGTAAAATCATCGGACATTTTGTAAAAGATATTTCCTATATGCTTCATCTGGCTTCTAAGGTGGTACTAATTTGTAATTTCGTTTATCTTTAGACGCGAGCAGCAGAAACTATTGAAAATGGCAAAGAGAACAACGGCGTTCCCAGTTCTATGGACCTCGATGAAAAACCAGTAAACAACATTGAGAAGACTGCGGAGAATATGGATGTTGATGAACCTCCTACGCATATTGTAAATGATCTTAAACTCAAGTTATTATCCACTGTTGAAGACAGTCGTCCTGGGACACCGGTCGAAGGATCATTCACGTCTACTCCAACATCATCACAGACTCCTCAATCTATAAATCCATGTGTACGCCTTCTGGCTAAGGCTGTACTACAGGTATTACTTATTTTATTGTTAAAGCTATTGACCTTTTTCTTTGAACTTATTCTCTCCGTGTACCCTACACACGTAAAAATCTCATAGTTTGTCAACAAGATGTGTTCGCACTGCTTGTTCCCAGTTGTTGACAAGTCTGGAACAAGTTGATATCATCTTGTAACAAGGTTGTCGAGGCCAACAGATTCGCAACAAGTTAAAGATATGTCGTCTGCACGTAACAAGTTGTTAACAAGTTGATGACATCAAGCTCGTAGCAACTTGTTACGAACAGTCTGTATTACAGTGGAACCCCGCCTTACGGCCACCCCGTTAATACGGTCACCTCGATAATACGGTCACTTTTTTTTGTCCCGGCGAAACTCTAATACATTTTATAATAAAGTTACCCGGTTAATAAGGCCACCCCGTTAATTCGGCCAACGGCCATATTGTAGAGTCCCGAACTAAAGAAATCACCCGTTAATACGGTCACTCAAAAAAATAAATGTGTTTACGACGGAAATGCAGTATAATTTAAGACACCTTGTGCAGTGAAACACAAAATTCAAGTTGCATCATATTACTAATTTTTTTATTTTTATTATCAGTCGCGCAAAGGGAAAGAAAGAATACAAGGTTCTTTAGCGACGTTGTATTCCCTAACATTGTTTCTTTAAAATTAGTGAAAACTTTATCTGAACTTTATAATGTTTAGTTATTAATTGGTATTATGGTGGGGTATGGTGTTATTGTGATTTTCGAATAAACATAGCTTTAATGACGTCACAATTGAAATTTGATCTCACCCCGTTAATACGGCCACCCCGTTAATACGGCCATATTATTTCGGCCCGTTGGTGACCGTATTAACGGGGTTCCACTGTAGTCTTGTTGGAACAACTTGTAGCAAGTCTGTTACCATCACCAACCTTGTAACAAAGTGATAGCAACTTGTTCCAGACTTGTCACAACAACTGGGAACAAGCAGTGCGAACACATCCTGACATCGGCTTGACAACAACCTTGTTACAACTAGATTTTGTCTGTGTTGGTGTAATTTACTCAGGTGAATACGATGTTTGTGATGTTACTCTGAGTGTATATCCACACCAGACAAGCTTGAAAGATATGCCTGACCTGGCCAAGCTTGTCCGCTGTGGATATACACTCAGAGTAACATCACAAACATCTTGTTACAACTCGTTTGCAGGGGTTAAAGTTAACTATAGTTAGTGGAAACGTCATCCAATAAGAAGCGCCTATTTGAGAGTTAATCACTATTTAACTACAAAATAGTGATTAAAAAAGTGATTAAGAGTTTTATACAACCGGCCCCTGATCTGTAACAATTAACTTGATGGTATCGTAGATGGAAGTTATCGAGTGGAAATTTATATACATTTATTAGACCTAACCAGAAACAGAAGCGGAAAATGCAACTACAGGTCCCTGACAGGAATGGACCTTTAACCTTATAACTAAAATTTTGATCTAGACAAAAATTTCATCACAGCTTGAAAGAGCATCACAAAATTAGTAATATTCCAAAGTTTCGTTACGAAATGTTGTAAAATGCGGATAATATAGCCCTGCGAAGTTTGCCATTTTCAGTCATTTTGTATTACGCATGGGAAATTGATACCCAAATCGGGTGTTTGGGTATCAATTTCCCGTTTGTAATCTAAAATGACTGAAAATTGCAAACTTCGCAGGGCTATATTATCCGCATTTTACAACATTTCGTAACGAAACTTGGGAATATTACTAATTTTGTGATGCTCTTTCAAGCTGTGATGAAATTTTTGTCCAGACTTGTCTAGATCAAAATTTTAGTTATAAGGTTAAAGGTCCATTGACCTTGCGATTCCTACAGAGGCCAGTTGTCGAGCTCTAACCATAAGTTCATGTATTAACTTGCTCGTTTTTTACGTGTACCTATTGCGTGCGTGGCTTTCGGTAAAGCAGCTGTTCCATGTCTTCATTTTGTGATATCATTCTTGCAGGTGGAGCAAGGTATTGAAAGAAAATACTTGATTCCTCCTCTGGGCGAAGACGAAGAGACGAAGAAACGACGACAACAAGAAGCTGCTGATGCTGCAAAACGTGAATTGAATGAAGTGATGGCGAAGAAGAAGAAGACGGAGAAAAGTGGACAAGCAAACGAAGATGACAAACAACGTAAGTTCTCTCGAGAGAGCAGGGACCTTAAGCAAACAGGACGGCAACGCGACGAAGACGGCTATTCACACAATGATATTCCTGATCTCGTACAAAAGAAATAAATAATTAAAATCCCCACGGGAGTTAGAGACGTTATGTTAGGGCTTTTTACAACGGCAAACCAGAGATTTTCACGTCTCGTGTACAACGCAAACATGTCAAGACGCGACAAGTGAAAATACAGAAGCGTTTTTAACCATAAAGCCTTTGTTTTAATTTCTTCAAACTGAACTCAATTCATATATACATGCAATGGATAATACATAACAACCCTTCTTCGCAATAATTTATTTGAAGATGTTTGTTTTGGCTGTCGTCGTCGTCGCGTTACCCTCGTACATGCTTAAGGTCCCTAGCATCTTAGGAAGGGCGGGGTTCTTGTTTATACATGCACCGTTTGTCTGAAGGGGGTGGTGGTCAATAAAGGGGATGAGCGATGGTCTGGAAAATGTCCTGCAGCATCGCGCTGCCAGTAAATTTTTAACAAAATATCTTCGCAAGAAATTTTCTAACACCATGCTTGTCATCTCAAATACTGGCATGCCATGTAATTTACATGCTGCTTAAAACTTCCAAAAGCGTTTTACATGCCAAGATTGAAGTGTATCTCGTATAGGAGACCACTTTTACTGGACTATGCCCCGGACTTCAAGAGTTAGCCAGGAATAATAAAGTTAGTTTAGTTTATAGGTTTCCTCCTGTAGTAACACACTGGACCCATGGTCTATTTCACGTCAAATCAACATTTGTCTCATTTATTTTTCATCTAGATCATATTTACAAAATGTTTTACTTTGTCTCACCTTTCGGTTTCAAAGTCTTTGATATAAATGGTTTCCGTAGAGGAAACCTTAACGTAATGAACAATAAAAGTAAATGAGTACCTGGATTCAAACACTTTAACGATGTGTCTCTTTCCTTACAGAAAATGGCAAGAGTATAGAAAAACCAAAAGCTAAGACGCAGAAAACTCTGGTAGAGCGTTGGGAAGAATCACTGATGGCGTGTACAAACCTGGCGCAAGTTTCTATCCACTTGTCCAATCTCGATAACTGCATCTGTTGGGATAAGTCAGTGTTGAACGCTCGTTGTCGCATATGTCGACGCAAGGGAGATGCTGAACACATGTTGCTGTGTGACGGTTGTGATAAAGGACATCATATGTATTGCCTTAAGCCACCAATAAAACAGGTACGTCCCCATTTGGAGTTAACTATTGACATTTCTTTATAAGCACAAATTACATCGTCTTCTTGTTTACATCAGAACAAAACAACTTTATTAATTCACTTGTGTGCATGCAGGGTTTAAAATAGCAGCCGGTTGTCACTGGCATTTTCACAAACGTTAACTGGCAATTTCTAAATTAGCATCTTTTTAATCCAATGAATTTATAAGTTTTAAATTAAAAAGATGCTGTTTTGACATGAAAAGATAGCATTAGGCATTCAGGTGTCTGGTAGGCATGAATATCTGGTAGCCATGAACAAGGCAAGATTCATAACTGTATTAAATCAATGCTCAGTATAATGCATATAATTATGATGAGCATTGATTTTCAATATACGATTTTTGAAAAGATTTTTGTATTCTTTTGCATGACTGCAACTTTTGTCAGATCTTACTGTCGTTCCAGTTGAAGTGTTCCTCAAATATTGATTCAATACATTACCTCGGGCTGACCAATTCATTTGATCAAGTTCCTCGAGATATTCATACGCTTCCTAGTATAATTGTAAACTTCCTGTTGAATAGTTTGAATGCACCAATCAGATTTTGCTGTTTGTGCAACTAACCAAGCATAAATAGAAAGGAAGTGACCAGAAATGATCAAATACTTGGAATTGGCTCTTTCACAGGAAGTGTATGAATATCTCGAGGAACTTGATGAAATGAATTGGTCAGCCCGAGGTAATGTATTGAATCAATATTTGAGGAACACTTCAATTGGAACGACAGTAAAATATCGGTCGGTCACGGACATTGTCCGACCCATTCGTGAAATTGTCCGACGTAGAGAGGAAACTACCGGACATTCTGTCTGACCCAAGTGAAATTGAGGGTTATTGTTTGTCTGACTCGAGTGTATTGGTGTCCGACCGAACTGTATAGCTTTGTCCAACGTAAATCAAAATGTACCCTAGACCAGGACTAGAGGCTTGTATGTTAAATGGAAAATCAGAGTACTGTTGCATGTATAAAAAGTGAACTGGAAATGTTGTTTTAACGTAGTCGAGCGCGGGGCGGCAAGCGAAATGATGAAGTGGAAAATTAACGCGCTTAAGTTGTCGAAGTCTTTTTAATACTGGTTTTCTGGAAAGCAAGTTAATTTTGGTTTGGAAAAAGTATGAAAGAAACAAATTATTTAATATTTTTACAATATTTACCGTTTAGAATTAATACATTGTGCTGATATTCATTTGTGTCATTCAGACTTATTTCCGAGTCAAAACTGAACTGAAGGTCATCGGACATATGTCCGACCCAAACTCAACGTCATCGGACATTTTGTCAGACGGCCCTGGAAAATATATTTTAAGGTCTGTTTGTACTTGATTGGGGGTAGGAGGAGGGTATTTTCTGCGTATTCGTTTCATGTTCAGTTTCTAAGAGCCTGAAATAAATTGCCGGTACAAGAAAGTTACACGCACCAAACAGCCTACAAATATATCTGAATTCAAATTATTTATCTTAAACCCTGTGTGTGCTGTCTGTAGATTCCAGAAGGAGATTGGTTCTGCAGTCAATGTCGTCCTACGGAGCCACGTCGTAGTATTCGTCGGCCGAAAAAAAGAGAAGAGAGTGATGATGATGATGACGAGAGACAAGATATGAAACTTCTTGAGATGGATGGTCAGGAAGATGACAGTGAAGATGAGAGTCAAAATGAAAGTGACGAAGAGGAGGATGAAGAAGAAGATAGCGATGGTAATTGCCTTGAGCGGCTGGAATGGGGGGGGGGGGGGACGCCATGAATAATCTTTAAGTACTCGTTGAAACATCAGCAGCCGGGGCCAGTTGTTCAAAAGTGGGTTAGCGCTAACCTTGGGTTAAAATTTAACCTGCTGTTTTTGTTTGTGTATTTCTGCCCGTCTGTTTATTTCAAAACGTCAGAGAAGTAAACTCCTATCGATCCAGACAAGATCTCTGAAGAAACATTTCCAAATTTATAGACCATCTGTCGGGAAGTTTGCTTTGAATTTTAGGTTAACCTAG